CTAAAATGGATGAGTATCACCAATAGATGGAATCTTCAAAAAGGCTTTCAGAGCTAATGCAAGAGTGAGTCTAAGTGGCTGCTTTAAGGACTTCATGAGCCACTTCTGTGCAATGTCATAGTGATGTCTAATCAGCTCTATTATTATGGGAAAGAAATCAAAGGCTGTGAAATAGGATGTTAAATCATCGTTAATCACAGAAGACAAGCGGTCTTACATAGAGTCATAGAAAACTGCAGTGTATAAAATCAATAAACAAAAAAAATCAATTGTACTTGTAGATCCTAGCAATGAATAATCTAACAACGATGTTGATAGAACTATTTCATTTATAATAGCACCAAAAACAAAATATACTGAGTATTTTTTTAAAAGTGTATGACTACACCAAAAATACAATATAATTTCAAGAAAGTAAGGAAAAAAAATAAAGGGGACAGCATGTCATGTTTGTAAATTTAATCTTAAAAATGACAATAATTCCTCATGCTGGGAGACGGCTCAGCCCACAGGTGTTTGCTCTATAAGCCAAATGACTTGGGCTTGATCCCTAGTAGGGATGGGAACGTGGAACTGACTCCACAGCTGACTTCTAACAGCACACATGGCAACAATAGTATTTTAAATAATTAAGTTTTTATGGTGATTATTTTCAAAGTGACTGAACCCAACCTCTGTCAAAATTCCAGCTGTATTTCTTTTTCAGACACTCATGAAGCTGATTTCAGGATTCATTAGAAAATACAGTAACTCCAAGGAGAAGATAGACAACATGTTCATCTTCTAGGGCATTCCTTTTCAGTACAGACAAACCAGGGTCTACTCTAAATATACAGAATCCCAACTTTAGGGGAGGTGCCAAGTATTTATATCTCTTTTTAAGTTTGTTATGTAGAAGCATAAAATAGTGTTAGAGTAAGATTCCTGTATTAATACAGACAAGCTGTGTTTTCACTGGTAACAAGAAGCCTAAAGAAAATATAAGCCATTGGTGCAACTAAATACAAGGGGCAAGTCCACTGTGTCCTCCGAGATGAGTTAGCATGGAAAAACACTCCCAGCAAACAAGCAAATAAAACAAATGAACTTAGTAAGTTGAGTATTAAATAATGATGCATACATTTGAAAACATCTTTCAGTGGATAGAAAAATGTTTAACTGTTTTTGATTATGCTCTTTGCTAACCATGGAACCAATTTCCTCTTGAGTCCCTGATTATAAGTCACATCATCAGAGTGACAAGTGATGTTTACTTTCCTGTTTGCTGTTTACTGTGTACACCCAAACTAAGAGAAATAATGTGACTCACTGACAAGGTAAAAACACGTAGAAAGCTGAAGTGGGCAGGTGTACAGGACAAAGAGAAGATGAGAACACACATTTTAGAATCCCAATCACAGTTATTTTCACATGAAATATTGCTGCTGGTCCTCTTCCTGCCCAGTCCTCCTCCTCCTTCTCTTTATTGAAAAAAGGGGTCTACCTCTATAGCCCAGACTGAAATAAAATTGTCTCAACCGTGTGGGAATATTGTGCCTCAGCCTCTCAAGTGTTGGGATGGCAGGCATGAGCCACTGTGTCTGCTACAATACTTTCCCATTAAAGTGGTATAAGTTTGTTTTCACATTTTAACTATAATGTAAAATATGATGTAAAACTACTATCCTACCAGCAATACCTCTGTATGAATATTTAAATAACAGTTACTCTCCTGCCTCATTGATTTAATAGTATAAACCTCGTTTATAAAAGCAACCATGAAAACTTGTTTTCTTCAAAAAAATCCCCTTTTGAAAGAGTAATCTTCATTAGAAAAGAAAAAGTATTTTTGTGTAGCATTTATAGATATACTATTGATAGAGATTTATGGAAAGTTCCTTAACTTTTGACCTTTTTCTAGTATCTCCAGAATAGGACATGGAAGAATGGATACAGTTTAGTTTCAACACAAAGCTAATGAAGTGGCTGAGTTTGGAAAGTATTCTCTTCATTGGTTGGTTTTCAACTCCCATCATAGATGGTTTAAGTACATTACTTTGTGTACTAAGTTCCTACTCCTAGAACCAGTTAGACAGATTGATCCTAAGAAACGAAAGTAAATTTAAGAGTTTATGTTGTCTTGATAACACCAAAGTTTTCTTATGAACAACTGTATGAACTTCTTGCTATCTTAAGAAATTTAAGTTGCCTAGAGACATCAACCTACTCCTCTAAAATTTACAGATTCCCAAGCACTCTACATTAAGTTGAGTATAGACAGTGTCTTGATAATCTTCTTGCTAGGAATATACTCTCTCTCTTGCCCTTATAAAATGAATATGAAACAAAGTGGCTTTTTTATTCTGAAGAAAAGGGTGATAGCAGTATTTAAAAGTGAAGAGCTTAGGCCATAAACTTCTGAGCTTCCATCCACCAAGCCAGCTATGCCAGTGAGAAAAGTCTGGCCCCAGGCAAACGGCAATGGCTCATGTCTTTTCTGTACAGCACAGAGAAAACACGCAAGACGGAAGTTTTACTCAGCTTTTGAAAGAAAGACAACACTCTGTCTCTTTCAGAAAAATTTTCTCTATGAACTAGTCATGAAATGATTATAATTTCCACAAATCAGGATGTTTTAATTACATGATCACTTGACGTAATTATCAAGTTACAACAACAGACTTGGAATTACTAAAGTCAAATCACAAAATGTCCTGTGTTTTTATGTTTACTGCATGCTGTAAAGTCCTGATAGAGTACAGATATCTCTGAGAAAAAAAAAAAAAAAAGAAAATATACACAATAGAATTGTCAACTGTCTCAACTGTCTTCTCTTTCATTTTGGGAAAAGCTCAATATGCAATTGGGTTTTGATACAATAATTTAAATTTGACATATAAATAGGTTTTGCTCAAGTAAAATTTGTATAAATAAAAATCAAATTCTGTTAGAAAACTTAACTTCTTCAAACTGACATAATTTGTAATTTTCATTCTCAAGTAGATGCAGATGAAGCAAGCCCTTCATCTTGAGAAGGGGAAGTCTGACTGCATGCTGCTGATCCAACTGTGCTCTGCCCCTGCCTGGAAAGAATCAGCGGCTTCCATACAGAGGCAGCAACTGTTGTGCTCTACTGCTTATGTTTCTTCTTGTGACATGTTCCTGTTCTTGCAGTTTTTCTAAGTGGATGCATTTTTAAGAAGAGAATGATCTAACATGGCTGTCTTCAAATGTGACCTGGGTATCTACTACTTCCTTCCAGAGAACAATGGATCAGATCATACCCGAAATCTGAGAATTTATGAGGCTGAGGCAGGAGGATTATGAGTTTGAGACCAGCATCGGCTAGCCATAGTAAGTTCAGGTCCAGCCTGGGCTAAGAGTAGGATGCTGTTTCAAACAACAAAAACCAGAGTATGGATAGCACTGCCCTGTTTTTTAACTGATTTCAGATCTCAGATCTCAGACTGCCCTAGAATATCCCAGAAAACATTCAAACATTCAAAGAAGAGAAAGACTTACTAAGCTTTATCCAATTTTCACTCATTTCTAAAGTTTTTCTCTGCTACACAATGAGTTTTTATAATAGTGTTAAAAAAATGTAGGCCCTTCAGGTAACACCTTAAGGATGTTACCTTCTTTTTCCCAAATAAGTCTCCATTACTGGTAAAAGGATTTGCAAGGTCCCCTTTCACTTATCTCTAGAGAAAAGTTGGAGAAAACATACTGTGAATTCATATAAGAACACAAACTAAAATCAAACTTAAGCTGGTAAACAAAATCAATCAGACTCCGAGATCCAGTGGGTATAAATCAAGGACACTGGCAAGCCAATCTCTCTGATGGGAATTTCCAGCATAACAAGCAGTTATGTTAGAAGCTAGCACACAGGGGCAAAACAAAAGAAGACGAGAACTCTGAACATGAGGTGATACTTAAGGAAAGGACAGAAGCATGTTACTACTGGGAGGGCCCACAGTCGAGCGGTTTTTACCTGTCGTCGTCTTGGGAGTGGCTCCTTTGAAAGTCCTCTTTTCTCCACTGCTCTTTTTCTTTCCCTTGCTCAGGAGCATCTTGTGCCTTTTCCTCATCTCCTGATTCTCTGCTTTTCTCCTTATGGAATGTTTCTGTAATCTGCTTCCTTCTCCCATCCTCACTAATTATTTCCTCCTTTACCTCCTGCTCCTCCTGAACTCTTTCTTCTTCCTTAACCTCTCCTTCCCCTCCCTCTTCCTCTCCCTTTGGCCTTTGAATGAAACACAAATGGAAGGCATGCAAAGAAACACAAAAGAGAAAAAAAAGTCAAGAAAAATGTAAGTAAAATGAAACAGAAAGGCAACGAAAACAATCAAAACTTGGGTGAAACTTAGACCATTTAAATGCTGACTCCATTTTCCCACTGCATGCCCGAGATGCACTGGTAAGCAATAGCTAATCATGATAGTTTGAAAACTGTATCTTCAGTTACAAGATGACATGGGGAGCAGGCCAGGGCTGCAGTCTCTCCATTAGAGTGCAGTATCTACATCTACAAATCAGTAAGACAAATGGGAACTAAGAGATTAACATATACTAAGTTGTCTTGAGAGAGTGAATACTTTTTCCATGTATTTACAATACTGTCAAGAGGGCAGGAAAGCCTCCTATTTAAAAAAAAAGCAGTATTTTTCTTTTGAATTAATAGAATCTATTCAACCAGGAAAAATATACCCTCCAAGATAATTGTTTTTCATATTCATCAAAACGTTAAATTTACACCTTCAGTTAGTCATTTTAATTTAACAATGATCTAACAATTGCACTTTAGTTTTTAAGTTACAAGCATAAAAGTATTATTTCAAGTAATTTAGTACACAGAACTGCCATCAGTTCCACAAAAACTGACCAAGATAAAATAAAATAACAATATGGATTATCCTATTGGTTTTACAATAATATATCAATACTTTAAAAAAATTTGTTTTTCCAGAGAAAAAAGACCCTCTGAAATACAAAGCTGTTTACTGCCCCAGTGTTCTTACCTGATTTTTCTGTTTCCTCTCGGCCGTTCTGATTGGACGGACATGTGGCTTGTGCTGCTGAAACGAGAAGCACTACTAGTCCTGGAAACCGCAGATACATCACTTACATCACTGCCCGAGGATTTAGTGGAGACAGTATCTGCCCCTCTATGTGGGTCCCATCCTGATCGGTACTGTTGGCACAGATGGACAAACACGCAGAAGCCGTCAGCATTACCAGGCACAGCAATCATGAGCTGCTCCTATCTCAGCACTTAATTGTCCATGGAGGGCACTGCAATACCCCACTCAGTCGTACAACACAGAAGGGAGCGTTAATTATCCTAAAACAGAAATTTATGCGAAACCTTTGTTTTTAGCAAAGTAACTGCAGCATTTTCACCATACCCCAATGAGGGCCATTAAAAGTTTCAAAACAGCAATGGTCTTAGGTCAGAACATTTAGCTAAAATGTGGGAAATAAACATTTGGCTTAACATTATTAGGAAGCACAATTCTTAAATTTCTGATTAAAATTTGAAAGGAAAAAAATCTGGTCAAGTTGTCTCTGTAGCTACAAAGATCAATTCTAGCAGCCATCAACTCTGTCTTTAATCCACTGGCTTTCACTGAAAACCTAGAGACAACACAAAAGCTAATTAATGAAAAACTAAGCGTTTTCAGAAAACCCAAGAGAAAAGAGAAATTTAATTTCTGAGCAGTTGCTGGAATTGTGATGAATCCTAGAAATATTAGGAAAAAAAATCATTATTATTTACAATAGCTCAATCTTCCTGGAATTGAAATAATTTGATAGTTAAGTGGCACACTCAGGCAAGGGATTCTTGGGTGTTCAAATATTCTGGTAAATTGAAAACCAACATAAATATTTTATGTTAATGACCTATTCTCATAAAATACACTTAATGTTAAAACTAATGGACACAATTTAATTTTATTACTGACAACAAAAAATCAGTTGCCAAGAGTCTTCAAGCTGGAATATTAAAAGAAATGGAAAAGAAAGAAAGGCTATGGACCTTGTCTCCTGGAAATTTGAAGCAAAGAACACTCTCAGTAGATTATTTAATCTTTACTATTCATAGTGTAAGATGACAAGAATAATCACACCATCCTTGTATAACTGTTTTGAACATTAGGAACAATATTTGTCTTGTTACATTATACTTAGTATAATTAAAAAAAAAGAATCATTATTACTGTCATTACTAGCTGGGTTCTTCCTCTAAAATCATCCAATATGAACGCTGCTGTGCCAGAATTACCGAGTCAGAGAATGCCTGATGGTGGATCTTCTGTTTCTTATTACACACCTGATGCCGAAACACCTTTATTTAGTCTAGTTTTTGAGAGCATCATTCTAATTATCGGTGACGGCAGGTTGTACAAAGCTTTTGAAAAATAGGTATTTTATATAAATCCCTCATGGTTTAAAGACTTGTCCTTAATAAAAGTCCACCAGGAATAGCGGTCCAACATAAATATTTGATAGATAGAAATAATTTGCCCGATACAACTTGAAGGGCAAGTGGCCACAGCTTAACATGTGTCATAACAATTGGCCTGTTTTGTTCCTTCTGGATCTTGATATGTCCAGCTATGTACATTTTTATTAAAAACTGACTCTTCAAATGTAAAATGAAGAGATTGTTTCTAAGATACCATAAGTCAAATTCCTTAACATAAAAATCTATACAAATTAATTAGGTGAGAAATGACTTTTTTTTTTTAGTCTACCTTACCTTTCAACTTTAATTATTTAAAAATCATTAATTAAATTATTCAAAAAATGCTGCCTCTTTTCAGAGGAAATGTTTATATGAAGAGAATGATGATATTTATTATTAAGAGCAACATTGTTTAGTTTTAGTTCACTTACTTGGCATAAATTTAGTTCATGAGATTCTTTTTCAAATAAATTCATCTACAAGTACCAATTTACTTAAGTTACTATACTATTTCAATTGGTAGATTCAAGACTTTCTGTTTTGTGTTTACCTGCACGTCTAAATAAAATACGTGTGAATAACTGCAATAAACTATATATTTTTCACTATCTTTATTTAAAATACATTGACCTGAAATTGAGTCACCTATTGAAATCTTTAACTTTACTCATGTATCTTTTAACACTCCAATTACAAAAAATGTTTTAATTGTTCAGTAAATGTTAAAATGTTGAACTGTGCCTGGGGGATGATATCTATCTCATTTCTATAATTTATAATCAAAGAGAGGTTACCTGCTACTATTTATTTTGAGATATTTTTAATTAGATAGAAACGCAGCCTAGCATTATATTTCTTACTTGCTTTTACTCATGAGCCCATCATATTTGAATTCCAATGAAAAACAAAAAGCCTTAATTGTAGCAAGAAGTAGAGGCAATAACATAATAATTAAGAGCCAACTTTCCAGGTCTTACTAACTCCCCCTTCTTTCAAATGATTCCCTGCACTCTGCCCAAGGTTTGGTTATGAGTCTCAGCATCTGCTTTGATACACTGCTAGGTAGAGTCTTTCAGAGGCTCCTGTCCTGTTTCTTGTTTTCTCCTACTTCCAATGTCCATCCCATTTATCATTCTAAGTGAGGATTGATCATCTTATCCTGGGTCCTCCTTCTTGTTTATCTTCTTTAGGTGTACAGATTTTAGTATGTTTATCTTATCTTATAGGTCTAGTATCCACAAGGATCAAATATATCTGGGCACAGTGGTCTTTTCTGAGACTGATTCTCCAACCAAGGACCATGCATGGATGTAACCTAGAACCCCTGCTCAGATGTAGCCTATGGCAGCTCAGTATCCAAGTGGGTTCCCTAGTAAGGGGAACAGGGACTGTCTCTGACATGAACTCAGTGGCTGGCTCTTTGACGACCCCCCCCCCCACCGCCGCCGAGGGAGGAACAGCATTGCCAGGCTACACAGGAGGACATTGCAGCCAGTCATGAAGAGACCTGATAAGCTATTGTCAGATGGAATGGGAGGAGGACCTCCCCTATCAGTGGACTTAGAGAGGGGCAGGGAGGAGATGAGGGAGGGTGGGTGGGATTGGGAGGGAATGAGAGAAGGGGCTATAGCTGGGATACAAAGTAAATAAACTGTAATTAATACTGTATATATATGCCAACTTTTTTGCATGAGACTGAAACACTGATCTAAATTCAAGTCATATAAATTACCATGTTTACTTTCTTGCAACAATTGCTTCTATGAGTGTCTCAGCTTTCAACTGCTATAAACATGGATAACAATAAAGCCTTTCTGTCAGGCTTGTGCAAGGATTAACATGACAATGCCTTATATAGAACTATTTTAAATATATAGAGTTTAAGTGGCAAATAAGACAACATTTTAAAAATATTATATTTGGAGATGGAAGATGGTGGCACATCCCTTTAATCCTAGTAATAGTAAGGCAGAGGAAGGCTGCTCTCTGAGTTTGAGGCCAGCCTGGTCTACCGAGTGAGCTCTTGGACAGCCAGGGCTACCCAGAGAAACCCTATCTCAAAAACTATAAATACATAATCTGGAAACAAACTACAAGGTCACGGAAGTATCTTCTTCAATTTTGTTTCTCTTAGCAGATAGAGCAGGATGACTGCTAGAAATCTGAGGCTAGCTTGGGCTACAAAGCAAGACTGTCTAAGAAAAAATAAAAAGACACTTAATCGTCTCCTAGAAAATAGCAAATGGTAAAGTACAATGCCTAAGGCATAAGGTCATTAAATGAAAAAAAAAAAAAAAAGAATATAGCTTGTATCCAGAACAGAAAATAACTAACAGCTGTAATTTGGTGATACTCTATTATCTACACTCAAGACTGTACCATTCTGTTTACTTCTAAGCAACTAAGCATATTTACCATAGGGTTACATCTGTGTCTTCAATCATAAACAGATATATAATAAACAGAATGAGAAACTTAAAAAGAGAACAATAATTTCATGAAGAATATTAGCGTGTGTGTGTGTGTGTGTGTGTGTGTGTGTGTGTATTTCACAGTGTCAGAAAACAGGCTGCTGGGAAAAGAGGTCATCAACTGTCTTACCCAGTTATGATTCCTATGAACTACAATAATGATCTACCAGAGAAATATGATCTCTGATGCAACCATGGCATGATTGTTAGATTGTCTGATTGAATTTCACACCTGACACTATAAGCAAGAGCTGGTGGCTGTGCAGATCAGTCGCCTCAGTAAGAAACCTACTGTTTTTTTTGTTTTTTGTTTTTTTTTTTTTTCCCTAAATGAATATGTTGTCAAACAGCCTTCTAAACACTCATTTATAGCTAAAGATCAGTGCTTCTCTCAACCTTGCAATGGGCAGAAGTTAATGCAGAAACTTATTACTGGTGTTGAGAATAAGTGTTAGTAAAGTCTGGACTCTAACTGGGATATCATATCACCTCTGCAAGGCTCACAGAAGAGGGGAAGGAAATATAAGAGTCAGGAAGATGTTTAGCAATAAAGATGTCTTCTGGGCACAGAATAGCTGTTTCACTCATTGGGGAGCAAAGCATGAGGCTCCTCATATTCATGGGGATTCTTACCAGTTAATGGTTGCTTAAGGAAGAGGGTATAATTTTCTGCCATAGAGTAACTACTGGTAAGTTGTTCATGCTCATGCAAGCCATTCCAATTAAGCTCAATGGGCCACACACAAAAAAGAAGACATGAAAATAAGGGGCTGGAAAGAAGGATTTCAGTGTGAAAGGGACAGAATTTGAAAGAACAATGGAAAAAAGAAAATGACTAAATTCATTGTGTACACATATGAAGCTATCAAAGAATAAAACAATAAAACATAAAAAGTCCATTAACAGAAAAGATATTTTACATATACTTAGAATAACATATAATCACATATATAATTCAATTTCCCTGATATTATAATTAACATTGAAAATGTTTAATGTACCTTTTAATTTAAAGCATGATAAACAAAAATTATAAAAACTTGAACCATGATATAAAAATTCAATTATTACTATACCCCCAAATGAGCTATAAATATGAATAAGTAAATTGGTTTATTTAGGAAATAGTTGTTGTTTTCTTGGCAAATATGCATCAAATAAGGTTTAAATGATTGTCAGACAGGATACAGTTGACAGATTAACAAGGAATGCTCATTATTCTATTTAGTGAAGCAAAACCCAAAGATTCGTAAT